TCTTCCAAATTCAGACCCCAACAAATGTTTTCTCGTCGACATATGCGAGCTATGTTCGAGCGATTGGCACACTCTAGCATTATGCGACTTAGTGAGAGCAGGTAAGTCAGTGGCTACGGTGTGAGTACGGTACTGGTACTGTGAAGTTCAATTTCAGCATGGAAAAGCTATTCGACCTAACTCTGATGATGACCAAATACCAAATCCAATCGGTGGTAATGCCTGAGCAGGTAAGGTTTCCTTATAACTTGGGAATGAGGTCGGGTAAAGAGCAATTTTCAGATTCTTACGGTCACCATGAACCATCTAAGTGGAATGAGGAGAATAGCAAAGCAAGAAGATGACATCCAGGAGCTGATTAGGAACGCGCATGCTATGGTAAGTCATGGTACCGTCAAGTCAGCTTTTTCATCTTGTATTCCTTTCCATTTGTTTCTTCTGTATCTACCAATTCCACCCATTTTGGTCCTGGTTTGGGGTTGGCAATGAGCTAGCTAATTGTTCCAAAGGTCAACATTAGCTGGTCTATTGCCAGCCTAAGCCTTGACACTTCTTTCCATCAACTTCCATATCTGTTATCTCCCTGTCATTCTCTTCCTCTTCTCTCCGCGTTCTCACATTTACCTCTGCCTTATTCAGTTCCAAATTTGGCTTTATCGCTGCCAAGCAGGACAGCTAGTATGCTTATTCTTCCAGGCTGACCCTCTCCAGTGATGGTTTTTAGAAACTAGTGATTTTTCTTCTTATGAAGATTTTTCTTCACCTTTCTTGGTACAGAATAGATTATTTTGAAGGTACTAAAAACCGCATTTAACTCCAATTCCTTTACCAAACTCTGATGCCTTGTTTCTCGGGGGGACCATTATGATGGCAGAATGGTTCAAGAAACAGATTATTTTTGTTTAGAGCTATGTGGAGATTAGGTAAATTTATGTATTTTAGTTTCTGATGCTTTATGGACCGGTATCGCTCACTGAGTGGAACATGATACGATATCAAATGCTCAATTTTTTCCAGGTAGGGTAAAATTTTCAACACAATCATAACCTTTCTCTTAAATTTTGACTGTTCAGTGATCATGATCTTTGTCTCAGGATTGTCGGGTCAAAGTGTCCGTTTTGCTCAGGGACGAGAAGCAATTCGACGATGGCCACTTTGTCTACTTACCGGAAAAGTAAGACCTAACTGACTATTCGAAGATCGAACATGATTGTTTGAATATGAATTTTTGTCTTTTCTCTAAAAATTCGAAGATGCATTGATTAAGTTCAAGATGCTCCGTGCCTTTATGGCGAGTTGCGGTAAACACATTCTTCTTCGCTCCTCCTCCCGCTCCCCCTTCTTGGAATCTTTTAGTAACTGCTTCATTTTCAGGAACCCTATCGAGCTTCCACCAGATGTCGAAACTCCCGGAATCACGAAGTACTACGAAAATGGCGAGTTGGTCAAAACAACTCAGTGGCCGACAACAAGGACCTATATCCCACTACAGAACCCTGTACGTTCTCTGTTCTCTCTACTCCCCCCACCCCCTTACCTTCCCCTGGATCAACTAATTCTAATCAGTGATTCCTTGTAGGAAAGCCGTAATCTCGACGCCGAAGTACGCTCGACGACACTCGGCATGAGTATCTTCACGAATGAGATGAGCGTAAATGTGAGTGAACACATTTCTTTTCATTCGCTTTGTAGGCGCATAATGCCCGCAGACCTTCGTCTATACAATGCCAGCAGATAAAAATGTCGTAACTATGACAACGTTTATGATATAAAATAGAGCGACGCTGGAGATTAATTCACACCTGGATTTCGATGAGATTGAAAACATCAAGATAGAGGGAGAAAAGCCTTTCCAGATTAAGTGGGTGTCTGACCGACAATCTCGGCCAGAATTGCGATGCTATAGCGCAGTTAGTGATTGTTTAGAAAGAAAGACTAACAAGGGAAAGATACTTGGCGACCGTGGCCATTCATAATGTATACCAAAAATGACCCCTTGGATGTTGGTTCCAAAACTGTCTCCCACATCTGCGTGATAACCCGGATGAAGTTATGACTATCTTTTCAGAATAAATTGCGCTACTGTAGAGGAAAATCGTCGATAAGAAATCTCTTTCTTCTTAATCAGCTGAGTATGATTCTTACAAGGTAAGGATAGGACCGCGGAAATGAAATGAAATCCTATGTATACTATAAGATACATCTCGAAACGCTGATTCTAAATCTGCGCTCGATATCTGCGAAACGATCTTCTAAAGTTTACGAACTTTTTTCTTAGAAAATTTAGGTAAATACTTTGTAACAGTCAAAACCCCCAAATTTGTTCTAGTTTACGTTTGCAGCTGTTAAAGAAAATCTTAGACGGAATACTGTTGTTTTATAACTATCTATGCCTGATATTATGCAATAATGAAAAAAGAGAGTGCAGAGTAGAAATCCAAAGCGATGAAGTCTTTATCAGAAACAAGATCCCAAACGTAGTCACACTTTCTGAATTTTACGGTAACAGCAAATTAATCATTAGCTCAATTTTCCTTTTCTGACTCTAATCATATTTTGAAGTGATTTGAGACTTTCGAATTCATGGTGCGCAAAAATTCTATTTTGAAATGCTTAGGGCTAAATAAAATCTACAGGTAGCCTCTGCACCATTTTGCATCATCCACTGCGGTTGCTCTTAGCTCTTCAAAAAACGGACAAGGATGAATTTCTCTGTCGCCTCGATGTTGTGAAAAAAAAGTCAAAGTGTCTCGGACGATTTTCACCAGTAAGGTGCCCGTTATCTTCTAGAAATTACTCTAACAACGTAGCGTTACGACGGCTTTGTCGCGATAAAACGTTGCGGAGTTAAATCTATCCCGCAAACTGTACCATAAGTTATTAGGTTGGAAAGAAAAGAATGTCGCTTTTTATTTC